AGCTCCAGTTGCAGAAGCCCACACGGTCACTGCTGTGATGGAAAGCAACAGCTCAGCCTGTTGCTCAGGTGGGACAGTTGGTGTTTCCACCTTTATCTTGTGGCACAGGTTTGGTTCAGTGCCACGTGTTGGCTTTGTGGCTTCCAAAGGGAAGCACCAAGGCCCAAAGCTCGTGGCTGTGCTGGGGTACAGCTGCACCAATCTGTGCTGGGGACCTCCTGGTGCAGGAGAGCCGGGTGCAGCTGTGGCCCTCTATGCAAAGGGCCAGTGAGCAGGCTGTGTGGCTGCAGCTGCACCACAATGCATGCATGGCCCTGCCTCGGTGTGTGCACGCTCCCAGCGCTGGCAGCTGCAGCAGGAGCTCCCTGCTCAAACGCAATGGTCTCTGCACAGCCGTGGCACCGCTCCCACGCACTGCTTGCCATCTCCAGAGTGGTAGCGTGGTCATGTCAGCTCTCAGCAGGGGATTTCTCCCAGACTCCGAGAGGCTCAGGAAAGGTGCAATGCTCCCATCGGGGCACGAGGCGGAGGCACAGCGCTGCAGCTGCAGCCACCGTGCATCCAGGGCACGGCTTTCCTCTGCCGGCGGCGAAGGGAACGGCATCGGCTGCAGCTGAGAGCTGTGCGCTGCTGGAACGGGTCGGGGCTGGGGAACCGGGGAGATTCAGTGCCCAAAAAGCGGTGTTGCATCTGTGTCTGTGAGGAGAGCTTGGTTTTCAGTGTGGTGCAGCGTGTGCCCTTGTTTCCTCATGACATTCCTTGTTTTTCTCCCCACAGTGGGATGTGTTGGAGGCGGTGGGCTTGGATATCTGTGTTTTGGGCGCACTGAGAGTGGCACACAGGGGTCATCTGTACTGAGGGCACTGGGCTCACAGCTCCATCCTGGTGCTGGGCTCAGGGCCTGCCTGCAGCTGGGAGGGACTGAAGGGGGTCCTGCTTTGTCCCCAGGTGTGGGTGCCCAGAAGGATCCGGACTTCAAGCTGCAGCAGCCCCAGGGCCAGGTGGTAGTGATCAAAGGGGAGATACTGACCCTGAACTGCACAGTGTCTGCATTGCATCCTATTGGCCCTGTGAAGTGGCTGAAGGGCTGGGGCAGCAGCAATCAGACCATTTATGATCAGAAAGGCTCCTCCCCACGTGTGATGAGAGCAATCAATGGATCCGACACAGACTTCACCATCCACATCAGGGATGTTCGTCTTGAGGACGCCGGCACCTATTACTGTGTGAAGTTTAGAAAAGGCATCTTTGGAGATGTGGTGTTTAAGAATGGTGGGGGCACGGAGGTGTTGGTGCACGGTGAGTGGATTCCCAGCCTGTCCTGGTGGGCTCTCCTCTGGGGTTGGGATGGGCAGGACGCTCCCTGATGGGCCAATGCTTCTCCCACAGCCAGACCCTCCGAGCTGGCCGTGTCAGGGCCGAGTCGCCGAGCGGAGCCAGGGCAGTCGGTGTCCTTCACCTGCAGTGCCAGAGGGTTCTTCCCCCGTGACATCCAGGTGCAATGGCTCAAGAACAACGTTCCAGTTCAGGCTGTGCTGCCCCACATCACCTCAGAGCTGTCACATTCCTCCTACAACATGTCCAGCACTGCACAGGTGACGTTGACCAAGGACGACGTGCGCTCACAGCTCACCTGCCAGGTGCAGCACAGCACGTTGGCAGCCCCACTGAGGAGGACGTACGCGCTGGGCCAGGCCCTGCGAGGTGAGGCTCACAGCCCCGGGGCTGGGGCAGGGCTGAGCCGTGGGCTCAGGGACGCCAGCTCCAGGCGCTGCTTCTCTTCCCAGTTCCCCCCAGCGTGTCTGTGGTCGCTGCGCCGCCGGGCGCCGTGGAGGTGAACAAGACGGTGACCTTCAGCTGCCGCGTGCAGGGCTTCTACCCGGGAGCTGTGAGCATCACCTGGCTGGAGAACGGGACGGGGCTGAACGCGGGGAGCACCACGCAGCCAGCAGAGACCCCCCAGGGCTTGTTTGAGCTGAACAGCACGGTGACAGTGCAGGCGGTGGAGGAGAAGAGCGGCTCCAGCTTCACCTGCCGGGTGGTGCACGAGGACCAGGAGCCCGTCTCCAGCACGGGCACCATGCAGGTGGCTGTCCCAACCCCAGAGATAATCGACAGCAGTTCCATCGGAGACAGCAGTGCGTGAGAGCTGCAGGGTGCATGTGGGGAGGGGTGGATGGGAGGTCACCCCCGGGACAAGCTCAGAGTCCCACCAGAATGTGGGTTAAGGTCTTTGTACTGGGGGTGCTGCTGGACGCCCCTCAGTGCATGCAGTGTCACCGTGCTGCCCCTGGGGCTTTCAGGTCCACAGTGACATTTCTCACATGAGGTTCCTATTGTAGAAAGTCTCATCTATGTGGCCGTGGGAGTGGTGTGCACTGTGCTGGCGCTGCTGGTGATTGCAGTTCTCTACCTCATTCGGACAAAGCAGAGCAAGGGTAAGGATAAAGAAACTGTGTGCGTGGCATGGGGGGGAGCTGCTGAAATGAAGTCAAAGTTCTGAGAAATGCAGCGTGTAGGCTGGCATGCCTGGGGAGGTGGGGGTTCTCTGAACTGTTTCCTTCCTAAACTATTTCTCCCCTGTCAGGTAAGAGCTCTCCGTCTGCCAGGTGAGTGTACATCTCTGCTTTGCATCTGACCCTCCCCCCCAATCTACTCCATCACATGAGAAGAGATACGTGGTACACCTGACCCCTTGTTTCCCCTTGCAGGTTACACGAACCAGAGAAGAGCAGCGGAGCCACCACCACCCAGGTGTGTCACCAACCTTGGGGACCGGGGTGGGGAGCAGCCCTCAGCTGTGGGAGAGGAGGGTGGAGAGGCTGTGCACAAAGTGTCTCAGTGTCTCCACACTGTGGCCGAAGGGAGGAGGAGCTGCAGTACTTCCCAGCATCATTTCTGCCTTTGCCTTCTCTCCTCCTCCTCCTCCCGGGAAGGCCTGGCTTTAGGACTGAAGCAGCTGCACCATAGGCACGAGGCAGTTTGTGGGGTGGTTTTGCATTTGGTGACGTGGCTGCGTGCTGTGGGATGGACCCAGCGCTGCTGCATGGGCAGCGCAATGCGCAGGCGATGTCGGCGCTTCGGAGAGCATTTTGGCACGGGTGGGAAGGGAACTCACTGTGCACTTTGCAAAACAAAACCCTTTGGTGTCTCACCCAGGAGTCTGATCCCAACAACCTGACCTACGCCGACCTGAATTTTGCCAAAGAGAAGAAGAAGAGCATCCGCCGCATCGTCGAGCTGAGCCAGCAGTCGGAGTACGCCTGCATCCAGGGCAGCAATAGCAGCAGCAGCCAGCCGGCCACCAGCAGCGACAACCTGACCTACGCCGACCTGGACATGGTGCACCTCAGCAAGGCACCCCGGCGGCCCGCCCCACGCCCCGAGGAGAGCAGCTCTGAGTATGCCAGCGTCCAGATCCAGAGGCAGTGAGCGGGGCTGGGGCTCACGGGGGTCCTGGTCCTCCCCCTCAGCTCACAGAGGAGCTTTCTCGGCCACGGTACCCGTGTTCTGGGCTGGGAGTGCGGCCTTCAGCACTGTGCCTGCTCCTGGGGGTTGACTTGTGTTTGCAGGCTTGTGGGATGGCTTGAGGGCTCCTTACCTTTGGGACTCCCAAAACCCTTGGCTGTGGGGACCCCTGAGTCGTGCACTGGGTTTGCTCACAGAACCCGAGGATGCGTCGCTGGAGAGCACTGCAGTGCATCAGGGTCCAGGATGGTGCCTCCAGACCAGGGGCTCCCACCTGCCTTTGGGGGCTCTGCTGTGTGGAAAACGAACTCTGGCTTTAAAGGAACGATGTCAGTGTCCACCTCTCTTTCCAAGTGTCTCTTCCACAGTCTCCTGCACTGATGCCAATAGGACTGGGGGGCTGCAGGAGGCGAGCTGCAGCCATATTGGCTTTGCCCCATCACCAAGCATCCTCCTCCTCCACACAGCCCAGAGATCTGTGCCCTGGGTTTGCACAAAGCACGCAGCCCCCCTCCAGCCAGGCAACCCTGTGTGTTTGGGGCCACAGTGAGCCCCCCCCGCCGGGCACAGCCCCCTACCCCTCAGTAACGTTTAACATGTTCTAAATGTTTGCCATGTAAGTCCTAATTTCTAGAGCTCAACCCCAATGTTTCACGTGTTGTACGTGGGTGTACTGCTGTGTACGTTGCACTATAGGGTAAGATGTGCAAAATGAAGAACAAGGCCTCCGTAAAAACCCTGGAAACCCCATAGAGCTTCTGTCTGACACACACCCCCTGCTTGGATGTGGGCTGGGGGCACCAGCAGCTCCCTGCAGCAATGACTGGAGGGGGACATACATATCTTCTATGTGTCCCCTGTCCCAGGCCCCCCACTCCCCCATCACGCATGGGACCAGTGTGGGGTGGGGAAGCCCTGGCATTGCTTTGGGATCTGCGAGACTGCCTGTACTGACCGTGATTTTTTCTTCTTTTTTTTTTTCTTGTTGCTTGCAAGATATTTTTATAATAAAAGTGGAAAGTCCTGTGTGTTGGTGGCTTTTGGGGCTGTCACTGTGTCACCTGCCTGTGTGGTAGGGGGCCGGCAGCTCGTGTTGTGTTCTTGAAGGGGGGTCATCCAGTGCAGTCCCAGTGCTGCAGCAAAGGGAAAAGGAGGAAGAGAGCAGCCTGGAGGTGATGCTGAGGTTGGGTGGTCAATGCTGGATCCCCAAGTATGCATCCCTCAACAGCTTAGTGTGCCTATAGCCTGGGGCAGTGAGGCTATGGAGAAGTTCTGCCCTGGTTTTGCTTTGCTGGCACAGAGCTGCTGCTGTTGGTCATACTGTGCTCAAGAGGAATGTGTGGGAATGGGATGGTTTGGTCGCTGTGCCTGGGTTCACAACCACACATGGCCTTAGGGAAGCAGTAATGGGTTTTGTGGGCACTCCCAAGGCCCTGGTTTGGGATATGTGATCCTCTTGTGCTGAGGCTGGATCCCCCCAGAGGAAGATGATGCTCAGCACCCACCATGGCTTTGTTGGCATCTGCCTTTTATTGGCTGTGGAGGGAGCAAGGGGCTCAGGTGGGGTGAACCAGAGAGCGTTCTTGTATCAGGGAGGGCAGCGGGACCAGGTGGAACTAGGATGAGCAGAATGCAGTGGGTGGACTGGGGAAAGGATGGGGACGCTCAACCCCCTGCTGCCCTGCCACCCCTCCCTATGGCCACTGTACAGTCCCCGGCCTGCTGGCTGCGTCTCAGCCCTGCTCAGTCTCATCCTTCATGGGGCTTGGAAGCTGTTACCTCATCCACCAGCTGTGATGTTTTCCAGCCCCTGCTGTGCATCTGCAGCTGCGCCGGGGCTGGGGATGCATCCCCACTGGATGTGCTGCCAGCAGCTGGGGTGTGATACCATCCCCTGGGTACACAGGGTCCCTAAAGGCTGCGCAAGTGAACCAGAGAGAGACAACAGGGGGCAGAACTGGAGCGTTCGCAGGGCTGGGGTGGAGGTGGCAGAGCCCATGGCCCTTTGAGGAGGATGAGGCGAGGATGGTGGCAGCCGCTTGGAGCAGGAGACAAAGGGATGGGTTTGGGGTGATGGCGGCACAGGGTCCTGTCCCATGCCAGGCTCTATAGGTCTAAGACCTCCCCTGAGTAGGCATTGGGGTCCTCATCCGAGCGCGTGGTCACCTTGAACTGCCGCCGCAGGAAGCCCCCGTAGCGCTTCTGATTGTCCCACTTGAGCTTGGGCCGGATGCGGCGCATGAAGCCCCCGTAGCGCTTGTGCAGCTCTGCCAGCTCCTGCCCCTCAGCCCCCGCACCCTCGGGCTCCTCACTCCCCCCCGGCCCCGGGTAGTTCTCAGGGGCCACCTGCTCCCCTGGATTGTGGCTGAAGCCCCCCGACTTCTTGCTGAGGCTGCCCTTGCTGTGGGCGTTGTCGCGCAGCAGGGACAGCAGCCTCCCCTTGGCCAGCGTCTTCATGAAGCCTCCGTAGCGTTTGGCTGGTGCCAGCGGCAGCTCTTCAGGGCTGGGATCCTGCTCTGGCTCTGCTTCATCATCCGCCTCTGCTGGGGATGCTTCTGTCCCTTCTGTCCCCTCGGCCAGGGCCACCAATGGGGCCAGGAGTGCCAGCGCCTTCCTGCAGCTCTCCCACTCGGCACCAGGCGGAGAGGAGCCCTGGCACTGCCACAGGCACATCTGCAAGACAGTGGCTGTGACAGCACCAGCATCACCCAGCACTCAGGTACCACCACCCCATCCATCGTCTGGATCCATGCCACCAAGCTCACAAGGAGCCAAACTTTGTGCCTTCCCAGAACTGCTAGGTGCCAGTGACCACAACCCGCAGACCATGCACCACCACCCCATGACAACCCTGAGTTGTCCCTGCTATTGCACCCCAATACTGAATGCTGGGGGCTGCTCGGGGCCAACACTCACCAGGGGCTGGATGCTGCTCATGGTGCCACGTGCCTGGTTGGCACAGAGTGAGCACTGGGTTGCACAGTCAGCAGAGGCTGTTGCAGCCAGGGAGAGGTAGAGTACCAGTGCCAGCACCTGCTGTGCCATCGTGCCTCGCTGCCTGGGGAGGGTGAGAGTACAGAGAGCATCACCTATCTGAACCTAGAGCTGGGAGTCATCACCTGTCCGTGCCAGAGCCCGTCTGTGTGCAGCAGCACTTACCTCTTCTGCCTGCTCCTGGGGAGCTGTGCCCGCATCCACATGACTCACCTCCAGGATCTGCTCCCAGGGGAGCGACCCAAGGGATGCTGCAGGACACTGAGCCCGTGTGGGTTCACACACAAGGACCAAAGCCCCACCCCAGCCTTTGCACTGCCCGGCACGTACCATTTGCAGGCAGAGTCTCTCATTCCTTCCAGCATCACAGCTCTCTGCAATATTGCGATCGTATGTTTGTGTGGCACAGAGGGGATGAATCAGCCCTCCCCTTGGCCTTGGGGAAGAACAGTACCGAGACAGAGCTGCTGGCAGAAGGGGATGCAGGGGATGCAGAGGCACCGGGTGACCCAACTCCAGCACAGCCTCACCCCGTGCTCCATCCCCTGCATCCCTCATCCCACCTGCTGCTTCTGCATGGGGAGGGGGAGAACGCCAATCCCAGGTTTAATCCTACCTGCCGGCTGCGACCACCACCCTCCAGGCTCCGAGAGCCCTGCACGAGGCCAGGAGGGCTGCCTGCCCTCCACTGTGGTTGGAGTGGGGCACCAGAACCCCCAGCAGCTCCTCCAGAACCCAGGGGCCGCAGTGCCACCAGCCCCAGGAGCAAGAGCCAACCCAACAGCATCCCACTGCCTCCGCGCCTGCTTCGATCCAAGGTGGGAAGGCATGACCCAGAGGGATCAGTTACACATTAATGACGCATATTAGAGACTATTGTATTCTTTAGCACTGTCTGCTAATGTACTCTAATTGGCGCTGATGAAGAAATGTTAATGCCACGGTATTAATTCATGCTAAATTAAATTTGAATTTGAATTATCTTCACCATCGTGTGTCGAGAAATCTGAATTCTTCAGCTGCGCTGCACAGCCAGAGTGCAGCGATGGGCACAGACACGGGCACAGCAGCACTGACAGCCCCTGCTCATCTCAATGGCACGGAGCGAGGAGAGAGGACTCACCTGCTGCTAAGGTAAATGCTGCTGTGCTATCGTACCTGGAAGCTGCAGCCCTGCAGTGCCCCGTGCACCCAATGTGAACGTACCTCAGCACAGATGCTCCCAAGGTGCTCTGCCGTCCTGCTGCTGCAGGAGGAGGAGAGAACGGGGCAGGGAAAGGAGAGGCAAGGCAGGGCTTTAGGTGAAAGTGAGAAAAGATGCTCAAAAAGGGGAGAGGCAAAAGGAAGAGGTAGAAAAATGGGGTTGGAATGGGACCTGGAGCACCCTGAGGTGAGCTCTGCCTGGAACATCCATCCTGAGGAATGCGTCTGCACAGTCACAGCAGCGCTGTAAGAGACTGGGGTTGCCCTTGGTTCCTACTCGTGTCCTGTGTGTGCTGCATGGCTGCTCTTTCTCTGCCCCTTTTCTGTTCAGGTTTTTGGTGCCAAAATGTAAGACAGCCCCAGGTGTGTCTGTGCACCACAGCTTTGGGTTACAGCCCCGGCTGCACCAGCACAGAGGGATGGGGAGCAACCCTGGGTGCGCAGCAGGTGACAGAGCACAGCACGGCCACAGAGGGCATCACCCAGCCATCACCCCCTGTACCTCTGAGCATTTCTACACAGAGATGTCACCACGCAGTGCAGACACCCGAGCCGTGGGTGTTTCTCCCAGACAGCTTGGGATCCTACAGACACTTGTGGAGGAGCAGAGCCTGCTCCCAGCAGCTCTCTCCTCTCCTTACATTGACCTTTCGAATCACAACACACCCGGCGTTATGCCATCACCCATCCCGTTCCCTCTGCCCTCTCCCCGAGCTCAGCTTTGCTCTGGGGCTGTGCTATCTCTGTATGAGCAAACAGCCATGGCATCAGCATCACCCCGAGCCCCAGCAAAGCGATGCTGTGAAACCACTGGGGGATGAGTGGGGCACCTGCAGCGACCGTGTGAGTCCTGAAACAAAGCAATAAAGCAACGAGTAAAGTGCGAGATGCTCCCAGCACGGCTGCTCAGGGACTATTTGAAACAAACTGAGTCACACTCCCTCGAGCAGCTGTGATGCCCAGCATCAAGGTGCGTGCGGGTAAAGGAAAGGGAACCCCAAATCCATGCACCCCGTCCCTACCTGCTGCTCGCCCCGTCCCGCTGCGCTCTCAGGTCAGGCTGAGCTGGGCATGGGCCACGCTGGGTGCACACCGTACTCACCGCCCGGCGCCCGCCCGCCAGCTTTTATGGCCACCGAGTCTCCTCCTGCGGCGGGGCCCCACTCCGCTCAGCGCTGCGGAGCCAATCGGGGCGAGGAAAGCCGTGAATAATCAGCCCCGCAGCATCCCAGCCCCAGCCCTGGTGGGCTCTGTCGCTGCAGCCCCAGGGATTGGGTGTGAGCACTCCAGGTTGCTCCTTGGTCACTGCTACCCCATTGGGGTCCTCGGCATGGGCAGTAGGCAGGGGTCTCTCTTGGCTGCTGGGTGCTGAATGCAAGACCTGCCCGAGGTGTGGGAGATGGGGAGCCCCCAGCCTCATGTTCCTGGCTTGGGAAAAGCCCCAGCCTCCTGGGAAGCTTGGGAGAGGACGGAGGCCACCTAAAGGGCAAGGGGCAAACCCAAACTCCTCCTGGGGACAAACCCAAACAGCTGAACCCAAAAGGGCTGGGGGAGAGTGGTGGTAGGAGGCAGGGAGCCCCTGCACCCTCTGCTTAGCCCCGTACCCTGGACACATTACCTCTAAGCCCATTTTGGGGATGGGCAGTACTGGGGAACACCCAACCCGTGCACCACTGTGCCCCATCAACACTGCATCCTGACAGCCCAGTGCCCACACATTAGACCAAGGCACCCTGTCCCCATCCCATCCCCATCCCATCCCCACTGCCCCACTGGCTGCAGCGCAGCCTGCCCTCTCGCCTTGAAGATGGAGCTATTTTTATCGGTGCTCAAGAGGGATGTTTCCCAGCAACCTGCCTCTCTCCCCGGCTCGAACACCAGCTGCCGGACGCAGTGCCCGCTCTCAGCCTTCCCTGTGCACAGGGACATGGCTGGGAGCTGGCTGCCTGCACTGCCACCACCACGTTTGGGGTGCCACATGTGGACGGCACGTGGCATCTCATGGGTTTTGCTGGATGTGGGTTTTGGCTCACCCAGGCGCCCAGGGAGCAGGGTATGGAAGGGTGAAGCAAAGGCCGAGCATCTCTCATCTCCCGGGGCTGGTGGAGGGGATGTGATCTGCAGAAGCTGTGCTGGGAGGTGGCAGTGCTGCAGGGATGGGGAGGCTCAGTCCCCATGAGGGCAGAGGCAGGAGGTGTGTGGTGTTCTGGTGTGTTTTCACCCCCAGCTGAAGGTTTGCAGGCGCAGAACAAAGCCGAGAACAAAAGGCAGCCGCAAACCACAGTGGCATCCTCAGTGCTGTGTGGGCAGCCCCGGGAGGTTTCACCCTCACTACTGAGCACCACAGGGTTCCACAGAGGGTTCTCACACTGAAACCATTACATGTAGCCAGCAGCAGTCCCTATCTCATCCTGCATGTCCCCAAAACCCGACCTCCTGCTGGTGCACTTAGTTCCCATCCTGCCTTAGCGGCTCCAAGAGCCCCACCTCCAGGTGTGTGCTCAGGGATTGCAGTGTGGAGCATCCCAAAAGCAGGATCAGATCCTAGCACACAAAAGCAGGCAGCAGGATCAGATCCTAGCACACACCTGGAGCATCCCCATCCCCAGGTAATGCCCCATAGGGACTGGGGCTTCTGGAGACTGAGCTAACCCCATGGGCACGGGATGAGGCAGGTGCCTCCACCTCGCTTGCTGCAGGAAGAGATCGGGGTTCTCCCATCCCCAAGGCACCACAGCCCCCATCACTTCCTATGTGTGCAGATCTGGATGCATTCTGGTCCCTGCGGTCTGGGTGGGTGTGGGGGTGACATGGCCCTTTTGGGAAAGGCACTGCCACCAAAGCCACCCACCTGCGAGCGTAATTAATATTCATCCGTCTCTTCCTAATGGGAAACTGCCTGTGAGTCATGCTGACATTTCCCTGGGACAATGGTAATTAAGCACCTGGGTAAGAGAAATGAGCGGTAATAGAAAAGTTAAGTTTGCTTTAACTGCATCAGTTCTAAGAGGGTTCGGAGAGGAGGGGGACGAAATTGCGAGGCACAGCGGGTGGGAGGCAGCGGCACGCAGCGTCAGCGGCACCGGGCTGTGCCCGGGGGCTGCTCCCGGCCCGGCCCCGCAGCGGTGCAAGGAGGGACACGGTGGGGGAGGATACGGAGCAGAGAAAGGGGCGACGACTGCCGCAGGGACAGCGGCTGCGGACTGAGGGCGGCAGTGAGCGGTGTTCGGGGCTGCCTCGTGCTGAGCTGCCGTCGGCCGCACGCTGTGCCCCAGGCAGCAGGCTGGAGCAAAAGGGGCAGCCCCGCATCGCCTGCCGGGCAGGGAGGTGAAGGGCTCCCAAAGTGAACGGAGCTCGAAGCACACGCAGGAGATGCCCACGCTGGGTGCGTGCAGCCCGCAGAGCCACCGCAGGGTTTTCATCCGCATATTTCGGGCGGATGACGGGGCGGGGGATGCGGTGCGGAGCAGAGCGGGCTCAGGGGGAACTTCACCGCTCCCTGAAAGGAGGTGGGAGCGGCTTCTGCTCGCAATGGCCTCACATTGGGGCAGGGGAGGGGCAGGTCGGGCATCAGGAGAAATTTCGCCTCGGGAAAAGCGGTGCAGCTCTGGGCACAGATTGCCCATGGTGGGTGTGGGGGGGGATGTCACCATCCCTGCAGGCGTTCCAGAACATGGAGATACGGCAGCGGCGGATAGAGCGGGGCAGGCCGACCTCGCACAGCCGTTCCGTCCCCACCGTTACATAAGGCCACAAACCCCACCGGGGCGGAGCGCTCCTCACGGCCGCGGTGTTTACAGCCGCGCGGCGCGCACCAACCCGCGGGGGAGCACCCGGCCGGACCCGCGCCGCTCTCGTCACCTTCCGCGCCGAGGAGCCCCGCAGGCGGCACAGGCAGCCGCTCCCACCCCTACGGTCCCGTCAGCCCCGCGTCTTCGCAGCGGTTCCCCCCCTGCGGGATGCGACCTACCCAGCCCCGCGCCGCGCTCCCCCCCCGGCGGCGCAGTGGTACGGCCCGGCGCGCCGCGATTGGCCGAGCGCTTAAAGGGGCCGGCAGGGCGCGCTTTTCCGCCCTCCGATGCGGCGGCGCGTGCCCCCTCGCCCGCTCGGCGCTCCCCGGCGCGGCGCTCCGCGGGGCCAGGCGGGCGAGGGGGGGGGGGGGCGCGAGCGGGGCTCCCCCCGCGGCGCTGCCATGGAAACGGCGGACGGCGGCCGCCGAGGGACACAAAGGGCGGCGCGGCGGCGGCGGGCTGCGCGGCGCGGCCCCATGGCGGCGGCGGTAGCGGAGGAGGAGGAGGAGGCTGCGGCGGTGGGCCCGGCGCCGGGCGGTAGCTGCGCGGGGGCCCCTCGGTACCGCCTGCTGGCCGAGATCGGCCGCGGGGCGTACGGCGTGGTGTACGAGGCGGTGTCGAGCCGCAGCGGAGCTCGGTTGGCGGTGAAGAGGATCCGTTGCGACGCCCCCGAGAACGTGGAGCTGGCGCTGGCCGAGTTCTGGGCGCTGACCAGCCTGAGGCGGCAGCACCCCAACGTGGTGCGCTTCGAGGAGTGCGTGCTGCAGCGGCACGGCCTGGGGCAGCGCATGAGCCACGGCAACAAGCGCAGCCAGCTCTACCTGCGGCTGGTGGAGACCTCCCTGAAAGGTACCGCCCCGCACCTGCCCCGACCCCCGGCTCCTTCCTGCCCGGGTTTCCCATCCCCCGGTCCGTCCCTGTGTCCCCCTCTCTTAGGGATTCCCTCTTATCTCCGTTCCTATAGGCTGCTGGGTTCCCCCGATGTCCTCCCCCAGCCTTCCAGCTCTGGAGCCCCCCCATGGATGCTCCCATTGTACCCTTTTTCTTTCTCTCTTCCTCTTTGTCACCCCATTGCTTAAATCCCTCCTGCGCTCAGGCAGCCCTCCCTGCTTTCCCCAAGCTGCCCCCAACTTGTTCAGCTCTTCTCCATCTCTTTTACTTTACAACTTTTTTCCCCACTCAGCCCTGCATTGCCTGCACTGTGCTGTGTCCCCTGACCCCATTCTCTCCCTCCCTCTGCTGCTCACAGGGACTCCTCTCCTCCTGCTTTCCCCCCTCTGCAGCCCTCCTACTTTGTGTTCCCATTGTCACCTCCAGGCTCAGGCACATCCTTCCATGCCTTCCCCATCCCTCCATCACACCCCATTTCTGCTTCTCTGCCCACTGCCACAGCCCTATGTGTGCCTTCGGTCCTTCTCCTGTGCAGCCCCATCTCCTCCAAGCACCCTGAGGCTGTGACCCCACTTCTGTGGTGCCCTCTGTGTTCGCATGGGCTCTGGCAACTTTGGGACTGTTCTCTGTGCTCTATCATCCCTGTTTCTCCACCACTCTGCTGTACAGGGATGGCTGCCACTTCCCATGGGTCCCCTTGGCAGCATCACGCAGCTGCTGGGGTCACCTCCTGCCACCATTGATGACTGTGATGGTGACATCTCCAAAGCGCTCTCTGCCTCTGCTCCTTTGGCTGCTGTCAGGCCCAGCTCTGCCAATATGTAGTGAAGAGGTGAAAAAATACTGGAGCCCCATCTCCTGGGTGCCCCCAGTGCCTCTCCAGATGCCTGTGCCCCTTCGGGGTTTGGTGTCCCCTTGTGGAAGGCTGCAGAGCTGACCTCAGAGCTGACCTCTGAGCAGATCCACAGCTCCCAAACCCTTGAGAGCATCTCTGGACCTGTGTGTGACCCACATGGCCCTGAGCCTGGCTTCTTTTCACTCCTCACACGCACATCCAAGGCAGTGTCCCCAAGAAGGGCACTACCCTATTCTTTGTGCACCCCTGTGAGGTGGGTGCCTGCCTACCACACAGAGAGCTCCTGGTGGTTGGGGTCTCTTGCCCCACATAGGCAGCATGTCTCAGGGAAGGCTTTTGAGGAGCTGTCAGTGCTCCCCACCCATCTGCAGGCAGGTGGAGAGCCCTCTATTCCTTGCAGAATCACCTCCCTGCTGCTGGGAGAGCTTTGCTTGCCTTAGTCCCACTTCAGCTTCTCCCTCTCTGTGCCTGCATTCCAAGTTGTGTTATCTGCCGGTCCCAGGCAGAAGCTGTGCTCACCACCTTCCCCACCTTTGGCTTTGATACCGGACTGATAAATATTGCTACAGCAGAGCCAGGAGAGCCCCTGAGCTGCCCGTGTTCCCTTCTTGCCCACAGCACTGCCGGCTGAGGCAGCAGTGGGCACGTGGCCGTGCAGCCGTGCCATTCTGCACGACCGCAGCGTGGCTATTTACAGGCTGCACAGATGCTGTGCCAAGGCGCCCGGCTCAGGGTGTGGGGGGGGGATTAATCTGAGGCTCTTTCTACATCAGGAGCGTAACTGTCGGGATACCAGGCTATGCCAGGTCGCAGCTACAGCGTTCAGCCATCATCTCCATCGTGTTAAATTGATTATGCCATGTCTCATTTGAGGCAGAATGCAAAAAGGCAGTGCAGTGCGCAGTGCTGAGCCTCGAGGAGAGGTGTGGACTTGAGCAATGTGCTCAGTGCCCCAGTGTGTGCACACCTCCAGGTTCTTGTGCATGGCTGTGTGCACTGTTAGCTGCTCCTGACACACAGCAGCGATGGGCAGAGCTGCTTTGTTCAGTGAGCAGAGCTGGGGCTGTGCTCCATGGCACGTCGCCCACGGGTCCAGGTGCCTGGCTTCATGCTGCTGGCTCCCTTCTCTCCAGTACAATGTCTTTGCACAGTGGGAGTTAGAGGTTCCATGCAGCACTGGGGAGTGGGAGGCTGGTTCTGCTGGCATTAGATTGTTCCTAGTGATGCTAAGCAAATTAGCAAGCTGCTAATGAGCTCCCAGGACAGGCTGCAGGGTGGTGGCTGTGGGGATGGAGGGATGCACACTTGGTGCCGGAGCTCTGGGCTCTTGTCTGTATCCCTTCAGCTCTTGGCAGCTTCTCTTGCTAAACTCTCATCTTTAAAAAGTGGCTTGCCAGCTCTTTATGTTTAAAGCTGTTTGTTTTGAAGGCAGGAAGATGATTTAACAACTCAAACACTTTCACATTATAGAAAGAAAATGAGGAAATATTACTCTTGGCTTCAACCTCTCCCAGCAGCGCTCCACCCAAAGTGAAGTGCACCGTGCTCCCAGCTACTGCTGGGTCAGCAGCGTCCTCCCTGTGCCTGCAGAGCTGTGGGGCCACATCTTGAATCTGAGCCTTTGTTATGCTGAGCCCAAACCTCAGCATGTCAAAGCCAGCGGGTCTTTGCTGCTTTCCCCTTGGGATGGGGCTGCTGGGAAATGCTGTCTCCTCCCACCTGTGTTCTGTGCTGTGATGCTCCCAGCTCTGTGCACATGGCACTGCTGTGGTTCCTCGTGCTGCCGGCTGACAGGAGCTCCCTGATCCCTCGTGCTGGGCACTGTGCTCAGCATTTTGCAGACCCCAGGTGGGAGCTGTTGCCCCCCTTCCCCCCCCCCCTCCACCCCACATCCCAGCTCTACTCCTCATGCTCTGCTGAGGGCAGGGAGGTGCAGCCAAATCTTTGTGTTGTGCAGGATTTGATTTCCATAGCAGTAGCCATGGATACAGACTGTTTGTGCAAATAACCAGTATTCCCACCCACACCAATCGCTGACCATTGTGGATGCCAGAGAGCCTGGGGCTTGATGGTGCTGGTAGTGCTTGGCTCTACCTGCTGCTGGGAGTTTGCTTTCCCAGATGGTCTGCAGGCCTTTGCTAAGAGAGAAAAAAATAACTTGGTAAAGTAGGTGGAGTTCTTGAAGTGGTTTCCAAACACTCAGACTTGCCTGTGCTTTGCTGACTGTGGTAGAGGCAGTTGGATCCATCAGCATGGCTGAGATTGCACTTAAACATAGTTGGCTACTTGAGCTTCCAGTTTGTTCTCTTTGAAGACCTGTTGGTGTTTCACTAGAGCTGTAGGAAAGTGGCAGAGCTCTCTCAGCACAAACACAGTGCCTAAGCAGCGTGCATCTGGCCTGAGAGCAGCTGGTGTGCTGCAGGACTGTGGCCCTGGGAGCGTTGTGTGTGTGGGTGACTCCACTGCTTCCCTGGGCAGCCTGCCCCAGTGCATCTCGTTCCTAAAACCTTTACTATCTTCATAAACCAGCCTCGTGTCTCGCCCTTGTTCTGAGTTAGTGTGGACACCTTCCAATGTGCCTGTCAGAACTCACTCTTTGTTTCTTTTGGCTCCATTTTGGTAAGGTGAGAGGATCCTGGGCTACGCGGAGGAGCCTTGCTACCTCTGGTTCGTCATGGAGTTCTGTGAGGGGGGGGACCTCAACCAGTACGTGCTCTCACGACGACCCGACCCTGCGACCAACAGGAGCTTCATGCTGCAGCTCACCAGTGCCATCGCCTTCCTGCACAAGAACCACATTGTCCATCGGGACCTGAAGCCAGACAACATCCTGATCACAGAGAAGTCCGGCACCCCTGTTCTCAAGGTGGCTGACTTTGGGCTCAGCAAGGTCTGTGCTGGTCTGACAGCTCGAGGCAAGAAGGGTGGCCACGAGAACAGAAACGTGAATGTGAACAAGTACTGGCTGTCTTCGGCTTGTGGCTCTGATTTCTATATGGCCCCCGAGGTCTGGGAGGGGCACTACACCGCTAAGGCTGACATCTTCGCCCTCGGTATCATCATCTGGGCCATGATTGAGAGGCTCACCTTCATCGATGCTGAGACCAAGAGGGAGCTGCTGGGGACTTACATCAAGCAGGGGACTGAGATCGTGCCCGTCGGGGAAGCGCTGCTAGAAAACCCAAAGATGGAGCTGCACATCCCTCAGAAACGCAGGACTTCCATGTCTGAGGGCATCAAGCAGCTTCTGAAAGACATGTTGGCTGCTAACCCGCAAGATCGACCTGATGCCTTTGAGCTTGAAACCAGAATGGACCAGGTTACATGTGCTGCTTAAATTCAGGGCAGGGCACTGCTGTGCTCTGCAGCTGGGTAAGTGATCGGTAGTTTTTATATTATTCTGTCTGCTGTCCGGCCTGTTAATGCACTTTGTAGTGACACAATGGAGTCCTTTATGTTCCCAGAGCTATTTCTATAGTGACTCATCAGAGCTCTGTTTCTGAGTGGTGTTCTTTTCCCCACCTATTCTGTTGCAGCAGTACAGTAGAGGTGAGAAGCAATGAGCAGCTGCGTGTCCTGGTGCTGCCCAAAGCCCAGGCACAGCTCCGCTCCTTGGGCCTGGGCTGGGGAAGCATGTTGAACACCTGGCATCAGCTTTGGGTGTGTTGGTCCCTTCCAGAGACAGGGAAGGAGCTGCCCCTTCTGTCTCCTCCATGTGCTGTGATTTCAGCAAAGCTATGAGAGCTCTTATCTCTCAAATACGGTGCTCCTTCCCCACTGATATTAGGGTAGGGCAGCTCAGGTCTTGGCTGGCCTGCAGGGGAGGCACTGAGCTGAGTGGCAGGTGGGTTCTGGCACAGACCTGACTGTTTTCCTTGCTTTCACTTGCAAAGCATGTGCATCCATCTCATTTCATTTCCTTGCTAAAGGCAGGACTTCAGTGCCAAGCACAGTTGCATAAACCCAGTGGGATGCTTTGGTGTTTAACATCCGAGCTGAGATCTGGGTCTGCTCAGGAAGGAAGCTTACAGAACATCTGTGCTCAGATGGAGCTTAGTTCATGCAGAGTCCCTCCCTTTTCCCCCAGGCTCAGGTTCTAAATAGTCCTGAACTTGGCTTCTGCTGCGTCCTGGTCCTTAGTGGGGGTCTGGAAGGACACCCATGGATGTGGGATAGCTGGTTGTGTCACTCAGCAGTGACACCAAAGGAATGAGCAGTTCTGCCTTTATGGTAAAGCTGTCTGTAAACAAGAGCTGTTACTATGGGATTCTCCTGGCCAAACACTTCAATGAAACTGGAAAATGACAGATTATAGGGTGAGGCAGATATCTTTCCAGCCCTGGTCTTTCACAAGCTGCTTCAGAGCTGGATGGTGCTGCTCCCTGATTCTTACTACCAGAAACCAAACAGATCCTTCTGGATCAAAGTGAAGCACAGATACAAGAGGGCAAAGAGAGCCAGAACTGCTGCTGTCGCTGGCAAACACCCAGCTGTCAGCTTTGTGGTCAATGGCTGTGTGCCATCCACTGCCATTGCAGGGTGCAATGGGGAAGGGAAGGCCACTTTGGCAGGAGGTGCTCCAAATTCTCCTTGCTGCTCATCTGAGTGTTCCCAAGCTCATGAGGAATGATGTGCCATCCGTGCAGAGTCTGCACACACAGCTTTGTGCTGTGCCACGTGGGTTCTGTGCTGCCTCCAGCATCTCTTGGTGGTCCTCTGCCTGGGACTGCTGCGCTCCAGCAGCCAGTATGGAATGTGCTTTTAGGGGGTGGGCTGCTGGGGCTTATCCAACTCCTGGCACCCTTACCTTCTGTAGGAAGTGCTTGACATGTCCCCCAGAGAAACAGGAATACAGAAATGGGAAGCCCCTTTGGTAGGTGTGGTGTCATCCCTCCTGGTTTGTCCAAATTGGTCCGTGAACCACCTGCTTTCCTCTCCTAGCACAAAATGCACTAAATCCCTTGAAATTTCCACTGCAACTAATTGATGTGATGTGACAGAGTCTGCCAGGGGCTGGGGTTTGGTGCTGTCCTGGTGTGAACGTGGGGTGGGGATTAGAGCAGGGCCATGACCTGTAGCAATGCGAGTGCTTCAGGCGTGAAGAAGTCCTGGGTGCAGAGCAGGGCACCCCACCTTGCACCCTGGGGCAAGGGATGAGGCTTTTAGCAGGGCAGGGATGTGCCTGCTCAGAGCTGGGGCTGTGCAGGGAGGGTCAGGCTTTGCTGCTGCCATCTGCGATCGCTCGCCCGCTGACACGATGCTGCTGGGTTATGCAACCAGCCTGTGCCCTCCGGGGAAAATTCATCCTGTGCATATCTGCAGAATAGCACACGCAGGGATAACAAACACGGAGGGGACAGTCCTACCCTGGGGCTGTTTGCATAAAACCCAGCTGCCTTCTCAGCCCCCCCCCTCTCCATCCGTCCGCCATGAGCTGCCACTGATTGTCTGGGGGTGACGCAGCTGCAGTGGAGATGCTGTGCTTACATAAGGCAGCGTGGCCCAGATAGGAGCCTGGCACTGGCTGTATGCTCCCTGCAAACCCACAGCCGTGCACTGTGCAGCAGGAGCATTCCTCCTGTGTGCTTTTGTAGGGCAGTGGAATTGTCTGGGTGCTTTTCCTATAGGGCTTCTGAATGCATCGTGTGTGCGTATGTTCAAACCAGCCTACCTCTGTGGGGCTTTCATTTAATGCAAAGCTGAAATCGGAAGCTTGAGAAGCTTAAAATGGGATTTAGGGCAGGGCCTGAATTCTGCTCTCAGGTAATTTAAGTTGACCGGGAAACTGAAGTAATCTCTCCCTGCTTGCTTTGGGCATTGCGTGCAGTGCAGGGCTGGGCAGCGAGGTCCCCTTTCCAACAGCCCCAGCCCCTGTGCAGACCTGGCCCACATTGTGACCTGGAAAACTGTAACCCTGATCTCGGAAATCAGATTTTCCTCCATCCTTCATCTCTTCTGATCACGCTTTGCATCCCAGCAGCTCTGCCTTCAGTCCTGCTGCGGATGCTGCGCAGACCTGCTGCTCACTGTGCCTCTTATTCTGTTATCTTGCAAAACAGAAGGATTTGGTGTCAGCTCCCAGCCAGCACAGTGCTTCTGGCCTTGCTTTCAGCTGAGCCTGGGTTAGATGAGCTTATCACTGCCTGTCCCCCAAGGCAGCAGCGTGTCCTGCAGAGGTGGGTGGCATTCCCTGGGGATAACATCATCTTTTCTGAGCATTGCTTCCTCATCTCCTGAAGTACTGGTTTATCCAAACCTGAGTTTGCTGTTCCCACAGATGTGCCTTTTTGGGCAAAGGGTCGAAAGCCTTTCTTATACATCAGTGGTTGGGTTGTGCTGAGTACCTGCTGATAGTCTCCTGATTGCCATGTGACAGCCCAGCCCCAACTGCAGCAAAAGCAGTATTTCACCCTTCCTTACTGATACAGCAAGGCTCTGTAAACTGAAAAGCAGCTGGATCTGGAGTTGTTTTGCTGTGCCTTGCTCCCCAGGGACCTCCATTCACCCATCAGCAGTTGGAGCTCACGCACAGGTGCAAGTCCCCTCCTTGCTGGGTTGGTTTCTTGCAGCTCTGCCCTCATCTCCTATTCTCCTTGTGGGTCCCCTTGTGGGTATCACTGTCTATGCCCATCATTCTCATAGCTGCCTTCCCAGGCAGTGTTTGTGCAGGATGCACTGGGCACTCATTAGCCAAGCTCATAGATCCTTAGATGCATAGAATGTCCTGAATTGGAAAAGACTCATGAAGATCATGCAACACCTGGCTCCACACAGCACACCCAGGAAGTCGTTGAGGTGTGTGGTGCAATGGGAGTCTGTGTGCTGCTCACTAATCTTGTCACAGAAAGAAAGGGATCACGAAGGGCAGCATCGCCCACCACAATTTAACACGTAAGAAAATGTGTACTTTTAATTTCTGCAAGGTGTCAAACTGCAGTGGTTTTGTTCAGTGTGGAAGGCAGCTTGTTCTGTAAGTCATACTCTGTAGCAAAACAGGATTTTTGGGATAGCAGGCAGGAATGTGAATGCAGAGTGATTCGGGCTGAGCAGAGGTGCTGCCCTCAGCTTTGCCCCGTGTTCTGACACTTTCTGGTGGCAGCTGAAAGTAACTGCTGGCATTTGCCTTGTTCTGTTTGCATCTGCAAAATCATAGAATCAGTGCAGCGGGGCTGATACTGAGCAAGCTCAGCTGTGCAGTGGCACCTCTCTCTGATGAGCACATCTGCACAGACACCTGAGTGCTGTCAGTAAGCAGCTGACCTGTAGGAATCCACCTCTGAAGGGCAGGGATCAGTGCTCATCAGAAACGGCTCTGGCTGTGAGCTGCCAGCGAGAAGGCTGCTGTGTTTGGGTACGTTGTGTCTGTTAGGGCATCAGTAAAAGTGCCCTGATGCTGCGGGAAGGGACCTCATCAGCGTGTCAGGGAAATGTTGGGCATGGTTTGTCAGTCCTGGCATGGACAGAGCAAGCTGTGGGATGACAACAGCATGGTTAGTTCCTCTTGGCTGTGGCAGCAGCTGCAGCATCTCTGGGCCACCCTGCAGGGCACCCTTCAGGCAGTGTCACATCTATCTGGAGAGGAGCAAAGCCCTGGGCAGGGCTGGGTGGCTGCACCTCTGGCAACGTGTGGCTTTGCTGCTGTGAGTCCCACATCCCTTCAGGGAAGGCTCTGGGTTGGATTGAAGGGAGCTGCCAAGGAGCCCTGCACGTGTGTTTGTGGAAGGATGTGGGGGTACAGTGGGCTCTCAGCCCCCTCCCTCGCACCCTGCATCCCCACGTAGGGCTGGATGATGTGAGCACAAGGAGCTGCCAGCTTATGTCTTCATGCCTTGGTGAGACCCTCTGCTACCCTGAGGACCACGTTCTCATCTCCATCTGCCGTAAGCTGCACGTTAGTGTCATCCTCATCAGTGCTGCGTGAGGGCTGTGGGCTGCTGGTTCATGTTCTGCTGATGCTGAGCGAACATTCGAGCTGATTAAAACTGGAAGTGGCGTCAGCAGGGGTATTAAAAGCTCTTGAACAAGCCCAGAAACAGCATGCGTCAATGCAGCGAGCTTGGAAGCAGTCAGACCAGGATCTTCCTTGAACTGCTCCTGCTCCGGGGAGGCGTGAATAGCAGCAGCACAGCCCTACTTGCTGATGGAGCTGCACCACAGGAGGAATCTTACGGACAATTCTTCACTCTGTTGCTCCTGCCCTGGTGTCCCAGTGCCTCCCACAAGATACAGAACAGCTTCTCTCTGATCCCAGCTGAGTGCAGGCAGCCCTGGCCTCTTCCTTTAAAAGTAGATTCTGCAGGCGTGGATTTCTTTAATGAGATTTCCTGGGACTAAGGGATTTGAATCATTTGCTGGGTAGTGGTTATGGCACAGTTTGTCTGTGGAGCTGGGGGGACATGGCTGTGCTCCCAGCACCATGAAGGGAAAACCAAATTCCCCATTTTCTCCATGTTATGTTTCTCAGAGCTGAAGTTTGGGGGAAGATTCAACTGCTGTTAGTTGTGGGGAAAACTATGTCATGAAGCAGCATGCTGCCCTAGGTTTGAAGGTTTGTGCATTGTTTAACCAGGAGAAAAAAGCTTCTGTGCAAAGCTGAGCTCTGCCTTCCCTGAGTGCGGTGCAGGGTTGCCCCTCCTGCCCCAAAATCCAGGCTCTGAGCATCCTCAGGGGCTGCACAGAGTGTAGCACTGCTCTTGGCTGCATCCAAGTGGATTTTAGCAGCCTCTTGCAGAGCACTCAAGAGCCTGAGCTGCTGCTGACGCACAGTACGAGAGGTTCAGTGTGACCCCAAAGTCCTGGTGTGTTCTGTGCTCAGTCACATACAGGTCCTCAAGGACAGTGCCATCACAGGCAGTGCTGAGGCTTTACCTTGCAGCCCATTCCTTCAGTTAAAATTTGCTTAAAAAATCATACAATACTCTGAGTTGGAAGGGAGCCACAGGGGTGGTAGAATGGTTTGAGTTGGAATTGACCCTTAAAGGCCATCTGCCCCAACCCCAGGCAGTGCACAGGGGCACCCACACAGCTCCATCAGTGCTCACAGCCCCCAGCCTGACCTGAGTGCCTGCAGGGATGGGGCACCCACCTCACCTCTGGGCAGCCTGTGCTACTGCTTCACTGCCCTTATCGTAAAGAGCAACTTCTTAATAGTGAACCTAAATATCCCTACTGCATGTGCAGAGTTCCCCAATTCCCAGTTCAGTGATTGATTGCATCTTCCTCCAGTGCACAGCATCTCCTAACTGAAGAAGTAACGTCCTACAGGCAGTATAATGAAGTTAATTAATTAAAGGAGGCTAAGGGGAGGAAAGTCTCACTGCAGTAACTGGGACAAAACCATGCACATATCTGATCTCTGTTTCTCCTTTCTTGTTTTTCCTGCAGGTTTATTTACCAGGGACCCATCATCTCCATTACGTGCAACAAGGGAAGGTGACAATACAAAAGATCCTCGGTCTTCAGGATCTCTGGCAATGTGAAATGTTTGGGTGTTTGTTTTGTTGGTGAGCGGTGTTTGGGGGGCACAGGGGAGCTGCAGGGGCACAGGCTGGGCACTTATCGTGCTCACCTAGACTATTGAATGAGATCCAGAACACAGAGCTGCCCTGCCCGGCTCTCCCCATGTCCCCCTGCTCTGCAGTTGGACTTTACAAGAGTTAATAGGCAGCTGTGGTCTGCTGCCAGACAGGATTGCTGAGCCTAGCCAGGCACAGGTTGGGGTTTAAAGCTATTGTTTCCACCTAGGAAATGGGCTTGCATCTGGAGTGCATTGCTTTAGAGGTGAGTCTTACAGAGAGTGCATTGCAAGCAGTAGAATGTCTTCACAGCCAGGCAGCTCCTGGGTAGGTGCATGCTGCCTGCACTAGAAACAGCTGTTGTTAGGTAGAGTAGCATAAGCTGGAAAGGCAGTGGGGAGTCAGCACTGCCCTGCAGGGGGCAGAGCCTTGTCTCCCTAATCTGGGTGTCCTAGTGATGTTTGTTAGGGGCACAGAGCTAATGGGGAGTGTGTAGGTACATTTCGGCTGCGTACACGAGAAACTGAAAACAACCCACTACTCTGAGCCACTTGGTGCCAAACTTCAGTTGTGAGGAGCTTTGCTTGGGAGAGGAGGTTTGGCCTCAGTGGTTCATGGGCTGGATTCTGGCCTGCTGTAAAACACTTTTTCCTTCTAGGTAACTGTCTCAATAAAGTAAAAGGCTGGTTGTAGTTGCTTGGTTGCAGTCAATACAGCTCAGGTAAGGAGGCTGGAACCTCAGGCCGATCAGCTAACACTCAGTCTCTTTGCCTACATTGTAGCAACACTAACGCTCTGGGGCTAGGTTGCTTGTCTTTAGACATTGCTCACTGTAAATGCAGTGTACAGCACCACCTCTTTTCCAGCCTCTGGGGCCTGGACAAGCTAAAATGCTCCCTGCTGAGCTGACACTGTCAGCATCAGTCTGGGGGGCAGCATCACTGCCACTGTTCAGCCTCCACAGCGCCAGGGCTCAGGCAGAAGGGGGTCCCTTGGATCCCACTGCCCCCCCCAACTGTTGGCATTGCCCTTCCCCTGGGCAGAGTTGGATGGCCCCACTCATGCCTAGCATTGCCCCAAGGGCCATGGTGAGCTGAGAACTGATCTCTCTTGTTCACAGTACAGTGTTAGTGCCCTACTCCAAACCTTCATTCCTCCACCCAATAGAGCCTTTGTTGCTTATTGATTCTCCCTGGCATGAACTGGTGCATGCAGAAGGCTATACCCCCCCATCCTGCTCATGGTTTACTCTTCTGGAAGGGTCCCTTGCTGGGGGAAGCCAGCTTTCCAGCAGGAGGTCTGCACGCAGGACATGGAGGTGGGAGGTGAGCACTGGGGAAAGTTCCCCCTCCTGGCCCATTGCAGGTTCAGGCCATCTTCAAACCACACGTTTTCACCTCAGCTTTTGCATTTCAGATGTGTTTGTAAAGCAGCTTGATGTTAGCGAGCTAGACCATAGTGCCTTACTTAGGAGTTAGCAAACACTTCCGAGGACAAGCCCTAGGCTGCTAGCCTTTGGCCAACATGGATGTTTCCCTGTTAATTTGCCCTTTTCAAAGCATTTCTCCCTGATGATTTTGCTGCTGTTTGCGCTCGATTCCTGGATGAAGCTGCCTTGTGTTTACAGCTCCTAGCACCTCTCCTCCAATTGCTTTAGCCCAGACCAAACTTGTTCTGTGGAGTGAGGTGGCAGCATCGGGTGTCTCTGCCCACCTGGAACTGTCGAGCATCTTCTGCGGGCTGAACCCTGCGGAGGGAGTTTTTGGCATTGAGCTGCATCGCTGGGAATGTTCAAGCTTAGGATAGCAACTCCAAGGCTGGGACCAGGGCAACTCCATCCTCCTGGCTGGAGCAAAGCATCCAGGTATGGAGGGGGTTGCTGTCATGGGGGGGATCCAGTGCCCTCCCGCCGCCCTTTGGGCTTTGCGGGGTCCAAGCTGAGCCCAGCGCTGGGGGTGATTGTATGAAACTGTTTACTTCTGACTGCTGTTTACAAGAGGGAGGTGGGTTGGGGGGTGGGTTGGGGAACAAGCCAAGCCTCAGGAGGATTGGGGAACACGTTATCTGCACCAGCCTGCAGCAGGGCTGGCTGTCAGCACCATGTGGGTGTGCAGGCAGCTCTGCAGGCAGCGTCGGTCTGTGGAGAGGAGAGCAGAGGGGTTAGGTGAGCTCCCCTGTGCTGCGGTGTTTGAGGCTTAACGGTGCTAGTGACAGATAAGAGTTACCCTTGTGGTCTTCCTTTACTCCTCAGGACCCAGCTCCTTCACATATCAGAGGCTCCCAGAGCCTTGCTGGAGCAATAAGATTTTAAACAAGCATTTACCATCGTTGTGGAAATCCTCCGTTGTGTGCGTCGTATGTCTCCTCTGTATGCAGTACCGAGGCTGGGTTTAAGCCTGCTGATTGCCATGGGAGGAACACGAGCTGCTTGCTCCATGCTGCAGTGTGACAATGCCACGTCCCACCTGTGGGGCATGGGGACACCCCTCCCCCTGAGGGCAGAAGGCTTAAACCCAGACTCCAAAGTAAAGTTAATAATATTAGTAAATGAATCTGTATTACTTCCCTTTCTTTTTTTTTCCTTGCACAGAAGCTGGTGATCTAGGACCTATGTGTGAACAACTTTATATAAATATTTTTTTTGTACTTGGTTTACTCGGGTTGGTATGAGACGTTCTATTTAAGTTTTGAACACTGTGGATACCCTGATGTGTATGAGTGGCAGAGGCTTTGTAAATTAAGAGACGTTTGTGTGAATAAAGTTGTTTGATGGGGTTGAAAAGCCACACCATTTGAAATAGAGTTCATCGTGCATTTGTTCCCAGTTGTGCTGTTGGCAACATGTTTTATGGGCAGGACTCCCCACACAATTAGAGGGGGTTACATCCACCACGGTTGGACCTGGAGAGCCAAAAAGAATGAGCAGCTCCTCCTGCCACCACCAAGGAAAATACCCCACAGAGCTGATACTTCAGTAGCTACCAAACACTGCCTGTCCTTGCACAGATGCTCTAGATCCACAAGCCAAAGCTCACCCTTCACAGCACTTGGAGCCCCCGTGCCACCATTGGCATCCACAATAGGAAGAGCTCAGAGAAGATGAGCTGTGACAACAAGAAACCCTCCTTCGTGCAGGGAAAGGCAGCCAATGATGTCCTGAGTGCCAAGGACATGAGGCCACCCCTGAGCAGGCAAAGGGACACGAGGCCAAGCTGTGCCCTTGTGTGACAGCTTCCCTTGCCCCGCCATCACTGCTGTGCTGCATAATTGCTGCCAACAGACACCCAAAGCAGATGCTTCCAGCCCCATGGGGCTGGGTGGCCCCAGCTGCCACAGTGTTAACAGGCAAGTGCTGGGAGCAAGCTGCATGCCTTCCAGGAGCTCCAGGCACCAGGTGGGGAACCTTGGAGCTGAAGGGCATAATCTGTGGGTGACACATAGTGAGGGCAGCCCTGGTGTTCGGAGCCCCAGTCCCACCTTGGAGCAACCTTCCTGCAGGGGGGGAAGAGGCTGGAGGAGCTGCAGGAACTCTGGGCTGGCTGCAAGCAGTGGTAACACCTACAGCACAAGTGGATCATCAGCTTATGTGAAAGCACACACCCAGCAAAGCCCAGCTCTTCTGTACCAGGAACACAAGTCCTTCCAGGGCACAGCTGTAGCAGCTGCTTTCCAGAGTGCAGCCCTCAAGAAGTCCTGCTTTCTTATATTTCTTAGAACAGTTTGTCAAAACAAGACCCCTGTCTGTGTAACAAGATAGTCATCAGTGCCCCCTCGCACAGGGAGGTGTCAGCCCATTTCCCACCAGCAGAGCACATGCATGGATGGACCATTGGTCCCTTGGTGCTCCCCAGCCTCCTTGGAGCAGCAGAAGGGTTTGCAGCAGAAAATGCTGCTGCAATTTCCCCGTTTTAAGCTACACTGGTTAGGGGGGGGTGGCAAAACATGCTTTGCTTCTGGAGAGGTAGCTGCCCCCATGGCAAGCTGTGCTCCAATGCCCTCAACAACACAGTGTTGTTAGCTTGGTTCCTGCAGATGTGGTGATGGAGCTCGGGGAAGCCAGGTCAGCTGGCACGTGTGCCACCACACTGCACAGTGAAGGTACAGGAACAGGTGACCATGCAGCCGACAGGCAAAAAGCTTTTAAACATCATTAGCAGAAAGAGCTTGGTGTCAGTCACAAGGAGAAACATTTCACTCTGGATTTGCTCTCTGGAGACCTATTTCATATGTAAAGAGAGCTGCTAAACTCCACAAAGACACTTCAGTTACTTGAGAGCTGAAAAAAATACACCCCAACAATTCCTGGCCCTTCATCAGCCAGGCACGTGCACCTGCAAGAGCTGCACATGGCAAAGCCGTAGGCAGGAGAAAGGCAGCAGGGCCAGGGCAGGATAGGCACCAAAGAGACATTCAACAGCCACCATGGCCACCACAGCCCCAAGGCCACCAGAAAGACCGAACACCAGCAGCTGTGAGATGCTGCCGTCACCACTGCGTCCTCCCTCTCCCTAGAGCTGCTGTGACACACGTGGTGGAAACATTTTCAAGAGCCTGCACTCCACAGAGGCTCCAGCACTTGTAGAACAGGAGCATGAAATCAGTCGGTGCAAAGCACAAGTCCATATTTCTCTCAAGATCTCTCGAGCTTTCCAGGCAGCGAGCACTTCAGTCGTCCATGCTGGACCACTCCGGTCCCGTGGGTGGGAGGAGAACGAAGCTCACGCTGCAGCACAGGACATCCATCTCGCCTCATCCCTGAGCTGATGAATAGCTGTTCTACCCAGTGTCAGGCTGCAGCAAGTAGAGGATGAACAGCCTAACGCTGCACAAGCCCACACACTGCGTTTAGCTGGGGGATGACTCAGTCAGGGCTCTTCATGCTGGAAGAGGTGACAATGACACGAGGGCACGCTGGTGAGCGCAGGCTCTGCTGCCCATGCCATATTGCTGCAGGAGGACAACAGTGGGTCACGGGCACAGGGATGGGGCGGCTCTGGTGCTCTGCCACTGCCTCCCCACTGTGGATGGCTGTGGGGTGTCACTCATTAAATAGCCCCTGCCCCATTGCCCACAGCATTGTAACATTCTCCAGCAGAGCCACTCCATCCTTTCTCCTGCAGAAATCCCTCTCAACAGCCCTAGGGATGCTGTGATACCCAGGGCGGTGAGGCAGGAAAGAAGCATCACCCAAACCCCCCCAAAATAAAACCACTGCTTCAGAAAAGAAAAATAACCAAGGCAGAAAAACAGATGTATTTTTGCCTAGCACCCACCCAAGCACACACACTGGTGGGGCTGCACAGGGTGCCTGCCTGCTGCTTTGCACATAGTGCAGGTGGGTATCAGCTCCTCTAACAAAAGACCCTCATCCCCAGCTTGTTTCCTGGCAGAACTAATGGCCTGTGCTCCTCTGGGAACCGAGCACTTGCAAAGAGATGCGTTGGGAGGCAGCAGCAAGGGAACGAATTAAGACGTTATTTCCTCTGCCAGAGATGAAATCTTTAAACAAGCCTTTCAGCCAAGAACTTTAGTATACATATATTTTTTTTTCTTAAGGTTTTGCATGGGAATCTTGTTCTCCAGAATTGCATCCGCCTCCAGCCCCACTTAGAGCTGCCAAAGCCTGCGCTTCCCTGGGGACCAGCCTGCGAGCAGCAGAGATGGATGAGTTGACTTCACCTCCGCCCTCCTGCCGCCAAAGCCGGGGCTTTGCAGTCTGCCCCAGCCCTGTGGATGAGCCTCGGGTACACAGCTGTGCTCTGAGCACCTCTACATGCTTCTGCATCCCTGTGCCCAGTGCATGTTGACATGCCAGCCTCGGGCAGGTGATAATGAGCAGGGCACAGGCTGCAGTTCTGTCTGCTGGTGCAGAAGGTGCTGTGCTCTGTGCCAGTCCTTGCTCCCCGTTCTGCATCCGAGCATGCGTGACCTCTTTAGGAGGTTTTCATGGAAAAAGGGGGCACGCATGCTTCTCTGCTTGCATAAGCCTGCTAACAGCCAGCTTGTGGGATCTGGGACACGACAGCCTGCCTTCAGCTTGTGCTCAAGGACATCTGTTTCACAAGGCGCAGCACGGTACAAGGATACCTGAATGGGCTTTTGATGAGCTTCCAGTCAGATAACTGGAGCTCCTACAACCCCACTCCATCTTCCTGAGATGCATCTGCTGCAAACCCACCTCCACTGCAGCCTGCAGCTCAGAGGATCTCTCACACCCACCAAAGCACCACTGAGGAGAGGAGGGTCCGTGGCCCTGGGACTCCTCTTAGTGCCGAGAGCTGCCCAGCCACCAATAGGTGAGGAAACCAGAGGTGACAGACAAAGGCTTCCTACCTGATGCAGTCCCAGGCACTCAGCCCTGCCTGTTGCAGATCTCCTGGTTGAGCTCATACCCCATAGCCTCCTCCCAGAGCATTATTAGTAGGTGCAATGAGTTAGAGATAATTGCTGCTTAATTGCAATTAACTCCTTCCTGGCCCGATCCAGCTGGAGCTCTTCATCTCAGAAAAGCCATTCTCCCACTGGGTCCCTCAGAAAATTTACCTCTCTCTTCCTTTTCCAAGTGAGCCCTCTGAATCACATCCTGATGAGCAAATTGAGTTCACTGGTGTGTGGTTTAGATTTGAGGATATAATCTATCTGGAACATGTAATTTATTTCAGGTGTATGAGGCACTAGTGAAACTGGGAGCAAGCAGTGAGTAAATCAATCACACCCTGAGATCCGGGGAGCTGAAGAAGCCCAGTGCAGACAGGCAGCTCCCGTGGGGTCAGCCAGATATGAGATATAGGTATGGTCAAGGGATACAGGGACACAGCCAGGAGCCCTGGAGGAGGTGGTGACATTGGGAATCTTTCCATCAGTGCTGCCAGCGATGGATGCAGGAAAGTGGCAGAGCAGGAGCAGAGCTCTGTCCCCAGGGCCACGCTGCAGCTGGTGCTGCCCAAAGAGCTGCCAGCAGCCCCTGGGCCCCCACCTTCACCCAGGAGATCTGACCACCCCTGCACAAAGCAGAGAGGAAGAACCATGCACTTGCCAGTGACAAAGTCCATCACCTTCCCTGCTCCTCTTTGCAGCAGATTGCTATTTCATAATGCAATAGATGTGAAATATGAAGACAGAAATTGCCAGCGACTTTTAATTTGGATTCTGCCAATTTCTCTGTTCCAGCTATTGATTTTCCATAAAGATGAATTCCAGCTTCCAGGTCCCTCTGACAAGCACTATCTGGGTGTTTTGTTTGCTCCGAGAGTGGAAATACATGTTTTATTAAGTGTCAGAACTCGCTAATGAGAAGAGGGAGGAAAATCAATTGTCTGCTTATATCTTGATCTTAAAGACTAACAAGTTCTCTACTTCGATGCTGTGGTCAGGAGGACAGGGCAGAATGACAAATGGTAAACAGCAGCTGTCAGCTTCTCAGCAGTGGTAGCTCAGCTGATGAGAGGGGAGGGAGAGGAGTATATGAAGTTTGATGGCTTCAAACACGTTTTGTATTAATTCAGAGAAACCTCGGGGAGCTGTACAAAATCCTAGAGTTGAATCGATCTCTGATGTAAAAATGCTGAAAATATTGGAGACTGCAAGCAGGTTTATGCTCGTGTTCCTAAAATCGAGACAGAAACTTGGGCAGCTGTTTAGGACAGGGGTAACCAAAGGAATTTCATGTCTCCATTCTAATTTGGGATGAAGATTCTCACTTATGATGGTGAGAATCACAAGCAAGCTCAGTGCAGAAGTCTCAGCAACAAATCCGCTTTCAATCTCACATCGTACCACGCTCATGGAAAGTGTTCAGATGGCATCCTACCCTTACCAAAACGAAGAGTCACGCTGGCTGAGCCAAGGACTCCACCTCTGCTGTTTTAAAAGCCCAGAACACGAGGATGGCTCCAGTTCCCAACACGCTTTGCCTAAGTGACAGGTTTGGGATCTATGACACGAACATCTCAGCACATTTATTTCTTGCAGGAACTTGGCATGCTTATTACCAAATGGTGATCTCTGTTAACCTCCCTCAAGCAAGGATAGCAGCCTTCTTTCACTTGTATTTGTTATCTTCCTCATCTGTTACAGAATCACACCTGACAATTGTATAGTTAATCTCTTGGCAGCTGTGAAATGAAACAGTAAGCTCAGGCTGCCAGGAGAAGATGCATTGATTTCTTAAAATGACAGATCACCTCCTTGCTTGATGCTCAAGCAGAAGCTCAGGGACAGTGTTATGGATCTTGGCTATCATTCAATTAAAAAAGCTTAGCAAAGATGCACCAGCTAAGCGTCCAAGACCGCATTGAGGCTAAGCCCCAACCCAGAGACTTAATCGCAGGGAGTATGAAAGCACCTTCAGACCCAGAAGGTCTGTCCAGCTTGCTGACGGCAGCACGGGTTGTGATGCAGAGCTTATTGCTGTGAACCAGACGAGCCTGCCTCTCCTCTGCAATAAAACAGAGCAGTCCCTCAGCACAGCAGAACAGGAAAATCCCTTCCTACCCAAATGGAAGCTCGCTTCACTTAACGGAGCAGTCACTTCCCAGGGTGCAGAGAGACAGCTCAGGGCTGCCCAAGATGGAACCAGCTTTTCTGCTCAGAGCTGAGGGTGCTGCGCAGACAAGGCTGACCTGCAGTAGCTGTTTCATCTCTGTCTGCAGGGATCCTTGGCTTACAGCTGTGTCACCGTGCTTTGCTGCTGAGATCCGGGCTCTGTGCAGCGAACAAAGCTTTAAATCGGCCCGCAGTGATGCGGCTCCGTCAGGCTCTTTGGACTTGGAGGTAGGGGTGGCAAAGCACTAAAGCCGCTGCCAGCTCCATCCAGCAGAGGGGAAGCACGCTGGAGGAGCAGTGAGAATGGCTTACAAGGGGAATCAAAGCTTTGGAAATTGTCTCTTGGATATTGCAATAAGCACAAACCACGGACTCCGGGGGAGCATCAGCTTAGCGCTCCCATAGCCCACAGCAAGGGCACAAACTGGGAGGTGCAACAAAACAGGCTTGTTGTGGAGGAGGAGGGAGCTCCTCGCGCTGCCGCTCATCCCTCCGGCGCTCTCCAGGAATCCACACTGGCAGCTCAGCGCTCCTTGGCGCAGCTCTTGGCCGCGTTGAGGACAGAAGCCGCCTGTGAAGCAGGCAAAAGCCAGTCCCTCAGCCCCAGGACGGCCAGCACGCAGCTCAGGACGGCAGTCTGAGCAGATAGCACGCACGCACACCTCGCTGGCTGACCAGGGACAGACACCCAGCCCCAGCCGCGGGCCTCAGCCCTCATACAGCACAATGCGCTGCCATGACAACGGCTGAGGCTTGCGGCTTGCAGCCAGCCGGGCCACGAGGCGGCTGCAGAAGTGGGACGGGGCTCCCTGGCTGGCCAGGGGGAAGGAGGGCTCCCCGAGGTTGGGCAAGGTGGGTCAGGGCGGTCCAGCTTCCTCTGGTTCCCGTTTCCTACAGCCAGCCCCTCTCCAGCGCCATGCAGCACCGCGCTCTGCTGTTCCCAACCTAGCAGCGCTGCTATTCCAAACCCAGCAATGCTGCTGAAAAGCAGCCGTTTCTGGCAAGAAAAAAGGGATGTAAAAACAGAAAGGAAAACAACCACAATCACATCTCTGTCTGTGGGCAAACAAACCACTCCAGACAGCCAAATTGCTCTGGAAGCGCTGGTGTAACCTGTTGTGCTTGCTGTCCCTGTTCCGCTTCGTACTGGGCTGCCAAGAACCGTCACTGTTTTGGTTTTAGGGTATTTTTCTGGGGAGAGAAAGTAAAAAGGAAATACGGTTTTTTTTTTTTTTTTTTTTTTAAGTTGACAGCTTTCTTGGAACAAAGATTTCGTGTGAATGAGTGAAACAGTGTAAATTGCAGGGAGGCCAGACTTCTGGCAGGTTTAGCAGCTCCTGAAACTCCAAGAAGGAAGTGCTATCACTTCCTTTATCTATTTAGGGAAAGCCAGGCCAAGAGAAACTTCTTTGTCAACTGGATACCACCACCTAGCTTCAAGGCATTAGAACGTCACAGTTGGGTACTATGACCAGAAAGTTGCACTGCATGGGTAAAGAGGCCGGTCTGATTACAAAAGGGAGAGAAACAGACGTCTCCAGAGAGTTGGAAGACTGGAGAGAAATTGTGTACGGGAGCACGAAGGTGTCTAATTAGAATGAAAGAGCAAATAAGGGAGAAATTTTGGCAGAGCATATCAGAGAATAATTCTGGCAGTGAATCTGTTAAACAGAGCGTGACCAGTCCGGGGGGCTAACAGGAGAGCAGCTGATCGAAATGCATGAAAGTAGACTGTACAAAATATTAGAAATCGTACAGCTAGAAAGGAAAACTCCTGTTTAAATGCATCTGGTTTAACAGTTCTTTCTCATCTATGAATTTGTGAGATAAGCTTAAATTGAGAGAGAAAAGTCACAGCCATGATTTCCTTCGCAGCTGCTTTTTCTTTGGTTCTTAATTTCATTAAGCTACTTTTTTTTTTTTTTTTAAACAGCAAATTTTGGAATCATGAATGTGAATTTGAATGAATTGGAAAGCAATTCAGAGAATACTGTAGACAGCACAAAGGAACAAGGCAATGCCATCTGCAGGAGGTACACAGAGAGAAGCAGCCTTGTACGGCAGTACCTGCAGGCTGATCTGAGCCTCCACCTCCTTGAGGCACATCAGAAGAAAGTGGAGCTTCTGAAGAAGTGTTGCTATTACATTGAGGTTCTGCCCACGTTTTTGATCCTGAGAGATCAGAATCTCTTGGCGTTTCCTACCAGCATCTTCCAAGTCATTGACCCCTGGAAATTCCAGAGAGTGAAGAAAATGGGAAGATCCCAGACTGAAATCCACCTGCAGCTGTTAACCTACCTGTTAGAAGAGCTGCAACAAGGTCGGGAGGAGCTGGTCTGCTATGTGGAGACCTGTGACATGGTAACTTTCCTCTCCAAGTGGGACTCAATTAAGCAGAGAATGTCAGACCTCTCCGAAGTAATGAACAATTTCAATTCTGTGCAAGTATCAAGAAGACTCTACACCAAGCACCGTTTGGTGTCATGTGCAGATATTAGGGGTAACAAAATACCAGACATTAGGCTTTTTCTCTGTGCAAAGATGCCAGTTCTGTTTGATCGAAACGAATCGTATGCGCACAAGAACTGGGCCCACCTCAAATGGTCTATTGAAAATCAAGAGTCATCCCATGAACAATATGAGCTGCATTTTAAGTTGCTGAAGCGTGGAACTCAGGCAGAATTTGGACACTGTGGGCTTGTGACACGCACCACCAACACTTGTGTAGTGCAGGGCCTGCTGCCTGACCGGTCATACGAATTCATAATCAGAAGAGCAGAAGTGTACACGCTTGTCTATGAACTGTGGTATGACACCATCACACTGACGACAAAAGCTAACACAGCTGAAGACAAAAGCGCCTGAGAACCAAAGGATGAGGTGACTGACAAGAATGTTTTCTCGTATTTTCC